ACAGTAAAAGATGTCAAAGATGCTACCCCCCTAATAATGCAAATAATAATGCAAACTACCTTCTTAATAATACCTAAAGGCCCATGTGTCACAATCCGCGAGGCTGACTGTGTGTAGCGTGAAAGGTGGACACAAAACGAAACAAAACGTGACTTGAATGACCAAACACGAGCCGTTTATTGAGGCTGGCAAGGCTAACAATAAACAAAACTGGGTGAGCTAAATTAAATAAAAGCCTACAACAGGAACATGGCCCTGACCTGAAAACTTGACATGAACTCTTGGCCTACAACGCAACCGATCTGACAATGACACCCTGAAAACAGAGGACTTAAATACACAGGAGGTGATTAAGGGAAGTGGGAACACATGGGCGAACAGCTGACTGACAGGAGGCTAATGACAGGACAGGGGAAGTGAAACTAAATACAATGAACAAAGAACACACACCCCTTCAAAATAAAACAGGAAACATGAGAACAGACATGACAATACAAACTTGATAACATAAGACATGCAGCATGAAACACAAAGGGTGAGGGAATACAGGGGCAGAAAACACAAGGCGTCTAATAACCAGATGAACTTTGCTAATCTAACGACCTTAAACATAAACAACATCCACGTGTTTATTTCTGCTGTCACGTTTTAACGTGGGTGTCAAAGGGACTGACTCGCTGCTGGAGCCTCTGCTGGATGTTAGAGGAACTGCAGTTTTTGGCACGAGTCTAAATTTTTAACCCCGGGGATAACAATTACAAACAACTAACCATCACCATCATACGTGTAGAGCACCGAATGTGTTTGAAATGTGAGTTTCATGCCATCGTCACAAAAATAATCTGTATTTGTCAACAAAAGAACATGAAGAGCCTCCACACAGGGTGTGGTCCACGTCTCTAATATCTGCGTTTTCATTTACAGTTTGTGAAAAGCGAAGTGCTGACCTGGTCTTCCTAGTTGATCAGTCGGGTAGCATTAACCAAGCTGACTACGCCATCATGAAGAACTTCACCATAGATCTCATCAACAGCTTCAAAGTCAGTGAAGATTTAGTTCGCGCTGGGTTTGCCCAGTTCAGCGACATTTTTCAACACGAGTTTTACCTCAACCAGTTCTACACTGAGAAGGAAATGTCGGATCACATCTTGAAAATGAGTCAGCGTGGGGGAGGAACCAACATCGGACTGGCACTGACTTCCATTAAGGAGTATTTTCAGGCATTGCGGGGCAGTCGTAAATCTGAAGGCATCTCCCAGAATTTGGTGTTGATCACAGATGGAGAATCGCAAGATGATGTTGAAGACCCTGCCATCGAACTGAGGGATCTAGGAATCGAGGTGTTTGCTATCGGCATTGGCGATGTCCACATTCTGGAGCTGCTGCAGATCACCGGCACACCGGAGACGCTCTTCACTGTGCAGAACTTTGGCAGCTTGGAAAATATCAAGCAAAAGGTGGTCGACACCATCTGCAAATCCAAACCCATCAAAACTCGATCATGTGAGTTTGAAAACTCGATGTTCTAGTGATCTTTTGTCTTTGTCTCCCCCTCTTACCTGCCATATCCACCTGTCTTTGCCAAAAAATATATACAAATGTCTCTGTTACAGCCTGCACCATCGACATCGCCATGGGATTCGATATTTCTAGAAGAAGAAATCCAAATGAGGTGCTGGTCAGCGGCCACAACCAGCTCAGGACCTCCCTGCCAGAGATTGCTAATTACGTTTCCTCAGTACAAGGCCTGTGCTGCCTCGGCGCCGAGCTCATCAAACCCAACGTAGCCTATCGAATCGTGAGCCGCGATGGAAACACAGTGGAAGACTTTAGCTTTGTGGAGTACAGTGACGGCGTGGTGACCAAAGTCATGGACTTTAATTTAGCAGAGCCTACGTACTTCAACACAGCTCTGCTCAGATCCTTTGGGGAGAAGTTCAAGCTGCAGTCCAAAGCTGGTGTGAAGGTGAGACTGAGTATTTTCATGTATAAAAAAGTACTTTGTATAATTGTACTGCGCTCCCCATCCTTCTAAAGGTGACTATTATGAATCTGAGCTGGAACAAGGCTGAAGATAGTACCGTGGAAGTTTAGGCACAGGGTCCTGTTCACTAACTTCCTAACAGTCTGTACACCGATGGGTCGCGTTGAGGGGGCGTGTGTTTACACGTGAGGATCGCCTCACTATAGACGAGCGCTCTGAGCAGGATCAGTGGATGAAAGCTTTGTAAACTTCTGCACTGCCCTGGTTTTCTTTCTGCAGAGGCGGCTGCACCACTGGCTGCTAATTTCATAAACAGGAACTGATGCTGATGGATCCTGTAGACACGTCCATTTATCTTATGTAGTTTAAATACAAGACCACACAAACACAACACACACACAGAACCAGCAGACCAACACACACAGACACACACCACACAGACACACACACACAGACACACACCACACACAGCACAACACACACGCCACAGACACACACGCACACACACACACGCAC